GTTATGTGTAAATGTTTCAGTCCATTAGAGTTTTTTAACACCAAATACAGTAAAATGTTACTTTCTTAAACTCTCTCCCTAAGGCAACAGGTCCACTTTGTAACAACAGTTGGCATTTCTTTTCCATAAATAACTCACTTAAAACAGATCATTTTGGTAGAATTATTAGGAGGAAAACTGAATTTGGATTCTATCGTTGTCTTTCAGTTGTATTTCTCCACTACTCACCAGCGGAATAGTTGCATTTGCATACATGGTAACAGTGTGGTGGCAGCATAGGCGAAGAGGAGACTGGGACAGAGTTGCTCATGACGTGGGACATTGTACCTGAAACATTCATAATGTCAGCAGTGTAATATTCATTGACCGACCCATTGACTGACCAATGGATTGAATCAGTGACCGTAGAAAAGTTTCCTTTAGACATGGAGTAACTCACTGAAAAAAAGGACAAGTTTATCAATTTAGATAGAGTACTCCAGATTTCTATTCTTCAGTGGAATCCTGCTTGAACTCATACACCTCATACACAGTCCTTACGTGGAGTAATACACCTCATAAAAAGAAGGATTTGTTGAATTGTTACTCGTTTACCCACCCTTTTGTGGTCTTCCGCTGGAGACCGCGGGCTTCGATAATTTTTTTTTTTTCCTGTAGCGGCCATCTTAGATTTGTTATGTTTAGAGCTCGAAATAAATAATCTTATTTGACGACTTATTCCTGTTTATTCAAACGTTCTGCTATTGAGTATACACCTCATGGCCGTGACTTGAAATTTTTGACTAGGGCGCAGGAGAAACAACGATGCGAGAGCTAAAGTTTCCTCGCCCGAGCTCATGGAGTTTGGCACTCTCCCCAGTCCCCAGAGTCGTTCAGAATTTTCAATCAAGGAGGCGTGGGTCTTGCAAATGACTGGAGAACTAAAATGAACCACGAAAGGACGATTTTCCTTGTATTGGCTTTGCTTTTGTTTGTCATTTCGTGAAGACGAACCTTTTGGTAGCGAAAAGTTCGAAAGATAATATAAAATAAAGGAAGAGACTGAAAGATATGACAAAAATTTCTTCGAATATTTTTGCCCCACTGCCAGCCACGGCTGAATGCTAACCAGTTCGTTACTAATTACGAACTTGCCGTTCAGTTCGGTTTTAAATGATCCAAATTGCGAGTTTAGCGCATAGAAAAACTCTGCCACGAAGCTGCCAAGCGAATGAATAAAACAAAGAAAACCACCGTAAAAGATTGTTATATACAAATAACGGAAAAAAACTTTGCAAGATAGGCATGGATGAGGGTCTCAATGCCGAGTAAAACCGCCAACCATCAAATAACCAAAATATTAATTGTCAACCGTCCAAAACGCAATATTTTCTGCTTTTCCTACACTTAATGTAGCACCTAACATCGCAATCAAGTTCCCCTGGACAATTTGTGGGTGGAATGGATGATGTTGATACATAAGACGTCTTCTAAAGAGATGCTTTGAATATATAAACAAAGTTGAAATGGTAAATTGGCCACCGTTACGATTTTAAAAGCTGACATTTCGAGCGCTGGCCTTTCGTCGGAGCGAATAGAGGAATTATGGGTTGTGTGCGCTTTTAAAGGCAGAAAATGGAGCTACGTTTTTGGTGAGAACATGGCAACGAGAAAAACACGAATAAATTAGTGGAATGAAAAGCGTTCGTTAATACCTGTGGGATTTAGACTGC